ACAAATATCCATGAATATCCGTAAAAGTGCCAATAAACAATCCGCTGCATTCTGCCATGTGTAACGTTCGTTTCCTGATAAACCAAATAAATCATTAATAATTCTCCACAATCTTTCGACATTTCTTAATATTAAATTCATGGACTGCAACATTGTAGCGAATGATAAAAGTTACACGCTTAAAGTTACAGAAATCGTAAATATTAATTTCGATCCACGCTCGGAACTCGTAAGCGACAAAGTGATCACTGATGTCACGTCGAAACGTAAAAGTGTTAGAAGAGAAGATGATTAGATCATTAAACGTAAACTGTATTGCCGTTTGATTAAATGAACGATAGATTACTTATCGGTGTTTACACGTAATAAAATATGAAACGGCTGGGTCGTGTGCGTTTCGAAACGGGCCGGCAAAAATCGTAGACCACAATTTCTCCGTTTAAAGTTGTCGTCGTACTAACCGTGAGAAACGCGTTAGGCGATCCGACCTCGTGACTTTTATCGATATATCGTGCATCACGAGGCGCGCGTTCAGGAAAATTCGCGTAGGCAGATCCGCGGGACGCAGCTGAGCGTGTAATGCGCACCTATCCTGCGTTCTATTGGACAGCCGCCTTCTCGGTTATTGCCTACTTACCGTTCGCTGACTAATACATCCGCATCACCGGTCCGTTCCGTTTCATCAAATCAGCAACAAATTATCGCGGTCAATTAGAATCTCGTTTAATAATTACGCAGCACACCGATCGATTATGAAAGAACGGCGCTGCCTGAGATTACTATGTATCAAACTGTGATCGCGGAGAATGGACATGCAATCTTCTTTGTATCTCTTGTGAGCTATTCCTGACCATGTTAACAAGGGAACCGTTTCAACCAGCACACGCCGATTTTGATGAAACTTACGCGAGACACAGTTCTTAAGAAAATATTTCACACGTGCTTTTTCTTACCGGCCAACATAGCCACTTTAAACGGGTGAATACACCCTTGAAAGTTCAGGGTTGAAAGTGTTTCTTTTACAATACCTCCGAAACTACGGGGTATGGAAAGGAAATCTGAATTGTTCATTTCGAGGCGAACAATTTAAACAAAAATTTCTTTCCTACAGCTTCCAGTTTCGGAGATGTAAAAATTACACTTTCAACCTTCAACTTTGAAGGGTCTTTTCACTCGTTCAAAGTGGATCTTGGCCGATAAAAAGAAATACGCCTGAAATATTTTCTTGAAAACTATGTCGTGTGTAAGTTTCATCAAAATTCCCTTGTAAGCTTTTCGTTTCATTCTTATGAAATTATTCTGTGAAAGAACCTTTACTAAACATTCTGTAAATTGTTACTTTAACCCCCTGGCTATTATCTGCGCCTAAAGGCGTTTTCAAAATTTGGTTTCAGTGTACTGTTGGCGTCTATAGGCACCGACAAAATGTTATTGACAATAACTGCAGCGAAGCTCGCTTAGATCAGACGTAAGTGAATTCTAATTCAATAATTACACCATCCGTTAGTCATATATTATATAAATGTGATTATTCAATATTGATTTAATTTAGTTCAATTCAGTGGTTTGATTGTTTTAATACACTTTCTTAGAAACGCGTGTTGACGGAAAATTCTGCCGTAGCCAAGGGTTAATAACGGAAATCAATTTGTACTGGAAAATTTAGTATGTATATAATAACTTATTTTTTGCCCAATCAGGTTTTAATTTTCTTTGCATCGTTTTGTCTATTTAACTGTTTGAGATTCATTTAAGTCAACAATTTGTCAACGGTACTTTCGAATTTTAGAATATTATAAGAAAATTATGATTGAATTATGCGTTCCAACTTTTCCTAATATTTCATGTGTATAAATAAACTGAAGGATAAAGGAAAATTGTGGTTGAATTAGTTAAAAAGAATTTTTAGTTTATTGTGCTAAATTCAATTTCGTTTAACATGAACGTATAATTTAGTAGCTACAGAAAATTTGTAGCGTGTTGATGATTCCATGGAGACATTCACCGAGAAAGAAAATAAAAGAAGTGTACCATGGATGAAGAAGTAGACAATAGTCTATGAAGCAGAAGTATAGGAAATTAACCTCTTAGGTATTTACTGCACGTCACTATAGTGGCTGTCGCTGATGTCATCTTTCCGAACGATGCGCCACTCTAAATGTGTCGTGTGTTCAAAAAATGATATAAGACGAAGAGTACGGTTTTCATAATTGACGGGTGTCAAAATTGCGATATCAGACTATGTGTTGTACTGTGCTTTAACATATGTCATACTAAGTTGTACTACTAATTATTAAAACACAGGTGTTCGTATTACCTTGTTATATTACAAAAAAAAAGAAATAATTATAATTTATCCACCCAAAACTGTATTCTAATATGCTGCGTAGTGAAAAGCATTATCAGACACAAATTGCAGTGCTGCGTTGTTTACGCGCAGGCTGCGTCGAATCTGTGGTACGGAGAAACAACTCCGCAGAAAGTCCAGCAATATCTGAAAGGTTAATAGATAGCTGCTGTAATGAAATACATGAAGCATCTGTTATTACTAATTTGAATGAATATCGTTTTTAAAAATGTATATATTAATGACAAGATTTAAATTATTCACAACGTACAACATGGTTTTGTTTAGCTATAGTTCGGAGTATTCGCAAGTGCTTGTTTTTTCAAGGTTTGTAAAAACTTAACCTGTTTGTCGTGCGATTTAATTTCAGAAATGTCTGATAATGTTCGTAATGAAATCAAATAAGTGTCTACTCGTCTGACGCATGCCAAATGCACCTATAATATATTCTAACGAAAAGCTAAAGCAAAACGAAGAAGCACTAGATGTTTATTTAAATAAATAATTTATCGTTGAAAGAATTAGTGTCATTTTGATTTTAAGATGACGATACTTGTCGAACGTAGTTAACTGGTTAAAAATGGACAGCAGAGTCTAAGAAATACAGATCCAAACCAGAGTAACTTCATATTGACGAATTTGAATTACACTATTTCAGAACCTGATCCCAATCCCTTGATCCTTTATAGATCTACTTTGGGTTTCTCAGTTCTGGGTTGGTTTAGTTCCGATTCCGCAGTTGTAAAGTGATTCGATTTCGGTATTTCGGTACTCTAGCAATCTAATACGGATTCCTCAAGTTTGTGTGGATTTGAGTTATTTTGATTTTCGCCTGGATTGGTTTGCTTCGAGTTTCTAAGTTTTAAATTGTTTTCTTCACAGAATTTCCGTCTTGAGGTGATCTGGTTGTGAAATCATATACTTATCCCGTGTTGACCGAATTCATAAATTAACCCTCCTTTTATGATCAGACCAGATTTATCATTATTGTGAGTTCTGTAAAAATCTCAAAAAAGTTCTGAAATATTTATTTTAGTCCCTACTTTAAAGTACCAATAATATTTTAGCCAAATAATCATATCATTGTGAAATAAAAATTAAAAATTGAGGTGAATACACGTATTAAACCGAACAATTTTTGTAATATTGTGTTCGGTGGTCCTAACGGTAAAACTTAATTAAAGGAAAAAACATTATTCTATGCTCTTAATACTTGGAATTGAACTGACCACGAAAAACATTTACAGTGTCCAATCTCTAGGAACAAGATTATTTAGGTAATAGACCCAGGCAGTTTGACTTCTCCGTTTTGGAGGAACTAAACAATGAAATTTTCGACAGCAGCATAAATGGTCCATATTGTCGGCGGAGGGTTAATTTAATACGTGCGGTTTATTGTAGTAGCTAAAGTTTTGGTACACTTTACGAAATGATCATGCTTTGTTATAGTGGAAATTAACGTAATGTAGTAATATTTACTTACTAGTATGAAATAATAATGATTATTTATTATCAATATATAATATATAATAATATTTATACGGTTATAGGGTACATAAATTATGCGCTTAAGAAACATGTTGTAAAATGTATGCGCGGACAATTTCATGAGTAACTGTACATATTTGAATCTGAACATAGACATTTCATTATATAATTACCGAGGCCATAAATGTGTCATATAAATTTACTTATTCGTGTGTGTACAATGGGAAAAGTCGTGTTGCATCTTAATAAATCAATTCTTGTAATTATTGTGAAAATTAACAGCTAGTCACTTTCACTGTTCGATGGCTTGGTGTTAAATTGATCGACGAGACCATGTAATCAATTAACAGAGTATTATTCAGTTATTCGCATGCAACGAAGAACCAAGATAGATATTGTTTAAAACAAGAATGAATATTGTTCTCAATTTCGTGCTCAAAACAAGTAATGAATGCACGTTCTATGATCCGTATGTACGTTTTTCGGGTCGGTCACATGACCTGGGATATATATCCTTGATCATAATTGTCTCGCGTCCCTCCATATGCATTGTGAATTCTGTTAGATATTGCAGTGCATCACGCGACAAAAGAATTCGCCACTTTTCGCAATCATAACGGTGAAAATAATATATTGGCGGGCATATTGAAATTACTAGTAACTCAAGTTCTTCAATTTCCTAATTATATGATGTAAGTTTAAGAAAAAACACAAATTATACTGAAACCGGATCACTCATGTGTATACTTATTCAGATTGTTAGTTATTAAGTGATTACTGTCCCCCAGAATTGAGAATTATCGTAACTAATAAATAGAACAAAATGCTTCATTTCAGATTTTTTATTTCTTAATTATACATTCAACTATCATAGGCATAATATATTTTAACTTACGTCAGAATTGAAATAAATATATTCTCGTAAGTACTGAGAAAAGTTGGAAACGAGTTATTTTTACTATTTGGTACTTTTTGTATTAGATTAAAGGAAAAGTGAAAATGTATGTAACATATGAGAAAATTTAATAATCATTAATCATTGTTACTAATAATAATCATTATTATTATTCATTACAGAATAAATTGCATAGTGTATAAACGAATAGCCGTACATACAAGACATTTCAAAAGCAATACGAATACAAGACAAATGAGTAAATGCTATTGGCACAGAATGTGCTGTGTTTGGTAGAAATATTCTACTTAAAATTCTTAATTATTTTTAGAATTCCAATGTAGTAGCAAAATGGTATTATTTATGACGATTATTTATCATATGTTACCTTCAAAATTGCAGCTATTTACTTATCACAGAAAAAGTAAAAATTATACTTTTAAATGATTTTACGTTTGAATATCTCTTACTCCGTAAATACCTGAAGACAAGATATCTTATATTGATTGATAATGAAAACTGATTTATTTGATTTGAACGCTCTTCACGTTAAGGTCGTATTTAATCTAGTAATCTTAAACTGGTAGTGTGTAATGGAATGAAGTACCACAGGTCAGTGTACTTAGCTGAAGTACAGTAAAATATTCCTTTAGCTGAGGAGTTTCGGTGTATACCAGTTTTCCGATTCTGAACTGCACTAATGTGCATAATGTGTTGTTACATAATAGTAACATTTCATTTTCCTAAGGCTCTTCGCACACGGGTCGTCACGTTGCAACAAAATATAAAAAAAGAGATACACTGCTCTACACTGTACGCATGGTGACAAAGCGATAATTCATGTAACTTCACTCGTCTATACGATCATCGTACGACACTGGCAGCAACCAGGCGTCATGAAATCACATCCCAATTCCTCCTTCTGAAATCGTGAAACAAAAGGAACCGGAGATGGACGGCTTAATAGAAATTCAAAATTCCCAGAATTCAGATAAGTCAAGGACATATAGAAAAAGAAAAAGGAACAAATGATGGCGAAATAAATGGAGTATTTGTGAAATACTTAGAAGGAAAAACATTGAATGAAAGAGATATACGATAATAACAATATATATTATACATAATGTGTATTATATAATAATACATTCTTTAAACTGACAATATTTTCACCCCTAATATGCTATTCACCATACAACTACCTTTGGCAATGATAGCTATCTATGGATTCGACTGCATAAAATTATAATCAATTAAAAAGAAAAACGGATTTCAATCTCCATGACAATATTTATGAAACAAGTTAATGTAGTTGATTGCATTTCCGATCAATTGTACGGAACAGTGCGTTGTGTCTATTTATTGGCTCAGTTAAATAAAAGTGATTCATTGTTCCATTATAAATACATAGAAATTAATCGATACCGAAAACAAAACACAGCAAAAGTCCTCTCTCGGCCCCAACGTTTCGATTAAATCGTGCACTAGACGTATGCGATTGTCAATTCAATATGCTACGATAACGCGACGCGACGGTCCATATTCGGAGGGCCTAATAATAGATTATCTGATAAGAATCTGTCTTTATTAATAGTAATCCACTAAACGTAAACTACATCGGTACAAACTTCCATCGACGTGTCTATTTATCGATTAGTTTGCCTTATCAATAATGTGTGCTAATTGATATATGGTGGCTTGGCTAGCTAAATGAGATTGTGTACGTGTGCCACGTGTTTACTATTATTATTATGGTATTATACTCACTAGTTCTCAAATACCACAGTGATAATATCCTTTCAACGTGATAAGAATGAACTATTATTGTAATTAGAATGATAAGAATACCAGCATGATAAGAATTCATCTAAAGGCTGATGCTTCGAAACTTTGTTTGTCACTGGAATATTTATGGTACGTGATGAAACCGTTTAAAACGTAATGCATTATTCGACGAGACTAAAGAAACAATGTGCAAGCACTCAAGGGATTAACCCTTTGCATTCCAGAAGTTTTTCACTGGAAATATTCAATATTTTCTAATGAGCTGCAGGTGACATTTTCTGAAACTGACTTGACGAGAAATTGTACATTGAGAAAGAAAACTATTTTCTTTCAATATTTCACATATTGATGCATTATACAAAGTTTAATATTAAACATCAAACTTTACAATTTTGCTGTGTCAAATTAATTGGCGACTGAGAGACGGCTCTAGAGTGCAAAGGGTTCAGTTTATTGATATTTTCTAAAAATATTAGGTAATGCATCTTTAATTAAGTCGTTTGCTATAAATAAGTTCATGCTGGTAGAATACTGCGACATACGCTGCAAGTTGCAGAATTAATGAAAATGTATATTCCAATTAAGAAATTAAAATACATTTTCCTTTTTAAATCCGTATGTATCATATTTCGCTAAAACATACAATTGGTTAAGTGAAATCAATGCAAAATAATCTTTGCGTATTTTATTCAACTCTTTGGGATTACATGTCGAAATAAATTTGACATTAAATTTCACACCGAGAGCTCTATATTTTATTCAATTTTGATATATTTATTTGTAATACTATAATAGCGTCATACATAAATATACAATTTGACGTATCTCAGATATTTTCAAATCAATCATTAATACGGTATATTAAATTATAATTGAACAGAGTAACGTCAATGTTCCTTTCTGTAATGACAAATTGAGAGTACTTTGAACTGTAAAGAATCGAAAGGATCAGTCGTGTTGGGGGTATTCTGTTACTCGTTCCGATGAATTTCGGTGAAAGAAAACACCAGTGTAATTTCAAGATCAATATTTATTTCAAAGTCCATGATTTCAATGTAAATCGAATTTATGTTACACACTTCGTGAACACTATCTCTAATAATATTTTCGTTGTTGTTGCAGGCCTAGCCCGTGTGAACTACAGGACCCGCTGCGGGTCAAAATGAGTGCGATCACTGGCAGCATCACCAAGAAGAGAAAGAAATCCGATGCCAAGCCACAGTCACAAATGTGAGTAAAAATCCTAAAATCGAAGACCGCTTCCTTTCCAGTTTGCATATAAAATCAGCCAACATCCTTCTCTTTATGTTTGCGTGAATGCTGCGCGTGATCTGCTCGGATACCGTGTGCATGGTCCGGTTTCTTTTCGAATCGCGCAACGACAATAAGAAGTTTTACGACTACGACTCGGTGAGACGTTTCCGGCAGAAGCTTTTAAGGAATTTCCTTGGCGTTCGAGGACGATAACTTCACCGATCGTTCTATAGCTCTGCCTAGCGGGCTCGAGACATGTAACGCGCATGCGCGGGCAATATCTAAATGAATAATAGGATCTGTAGGTCTCCAACGCTTCAGAGAATTAGAAAGTGAATCCAGTGACCATTCCGCTTTTTGATGTTTTAGAGGAAAATTGAATAGTTGCCAAGAATGGAGGATTTTTGATAACTTATGTATACTATTTATTATGTAAATAATGTTCATTATTTATCTTATTATTACCCTTTCCCTGTATGCGAAGTCGATTTACAACAAAATTTCATAAAGCACAAACAGATTCTAGATAGTTAAGTGCGATGCGAGTAGGTCTCCATCTTTGATATTCATGCTACTGTTTGATGCCGCTATATACATGCTACTGTTGGCAGATTTTCATGGTTCAAAAATAACCGTTAATAACTCAAATTTGTAAAGTAATATCTAATAAATTTCTAACACTTGTTCGAAGATACAGTAATGCTCGCTTAAATTCTATAATTTCCGGTCCCAACAGTGGAATTTAACCGAGCAGAAGGAACCGGAGGAAGCTATTTGCTTCCACGAATTGATTCAAGTACAGTCTGGCAAAGACACAGAATCGATATAGTGAGCAAACGTGGGACTTCAAAGCGATGCCGCACGTGTCAAATCTAAACATACAGTGAAGAAAATTTCAATTGCAGCAGTTTTAATCTTATCTTTTCAAATGTAGTGCCAGTCAATTTCTGAAATTGATGGGATTAAAATGAGTTGAAACACGATGGAAATTGGACTACTCTTACCGACTTAATGTAATGAACGAAATTAAAGGTTCATTTCCTCCAAATTGATAAGACTAGACCGATTTACGTCATGTTTGGACATATTTTAATGAGAAGAATCTCAAAATTCCATCGATACTACGATTGAAGAGGCAAGGTTGAAACTATTGCAATTGAAATTTTCTTCGTTGCATATTTATACTTCACGCGTGCGGCATCTCTTTAACTTGTCCGTCTCTTTTTCCCTCATTGTCTTCATTTTCTGCTCCTGTCTACACATTGAGGTCACGTCACACTGAGTTCGAGACAGTGAGTAGTGAAGGAAAAGTAGGGATGGTGTAATGGAATTTAGCCGATCAGATTCCTGTAGAATTTAAGCGAGCATCACTGTGTTTATATCTTCATTTGCATACTTGCAAACCTCGAAAGATTAAAACTCATTGGTTATAACGATGCACGCATAGGGTGCACTGTTTCGAGCTCGACCTGGAACTGACTGTTACGAATGATGACTAACGACCACGAAAAAGTCTAAAACTCCATGCGCACGTTGAAACCTGCATCAGCGTCAGTTTGCCTTTACACTATCGATTCTTCTTTGTTCCTCGAGCGACGTCAGTCGCTTCTGATGCTGATTTGCCGATGCTGAACCGCATACATTACATGTGTCATGAAACCTGAGAGTCGATGCATGCGTCATAACATGTTTCAACGTGTGTAGGAGCTTAAAACAAAGTCTCAAAGCAAAGTCTCACTGGCTACCTTCACTATTTAATTCTTGAGGCTCCCATACACGTTGAAACTTGCGGTGATGCAGACACTGCTACAAGCGATAGGTTTAAGTCTCTTAAGCTTTCATAGCAGATGTTGCTCTCGAACAAAAATTGAAAAAGACTCAAACCTATCGCTTGTAGTGATGCCTGCGTCGACGCAAGATTCAACTTGAATGGGAGCCTTTAGGATAGTGCTGTTTGGTAACGGAGCTGAGCCCCCCTAGGGGTACGCGTAACCGCTCGGATTTTCCTTCGGGCGTAATCAACTCATTTGCGACGAAACGAAATCGTTGAATAATACGATACCCTTTGAAATATCGCCATTCAAAGATGCTCTAAGAAATTTAATCTGTTAACTGTGCAGGTTAATTTGAAAAATCTCTCATTTTGCGCGCAAGAAAATTAGAAAATGAAGTGTGTATTAGTCAAACGCAGGACGAATGCACCTAGGAATATTATAATGAAAAACCAAAGCAAAATAAAGAATTATGAGTTCATGTAAAAAAATAAAGAATTCATCGTTGAAAGAATTAGTATGATTTCAAGCTGTAAGATGACGTGTATATTCGTCAAACGCAGTTTATTGGTTAAAGGATGGGAAAGAAAACTTAATTCTATTTTTACACGATGAATACGTTTCTTGTAAAAAAATGCCGTACCTATAGAAAAATAGAGAGAGGTCCGAGACCCAAGAAATCCGTAAAATAATATAATAAAGCAGATGAAAATTCATGTTAAAACTCAGGTGATAGTGTTAAATTAAACCAGATTGTGAAAAAGGAGATTAATTTTTTTCTAATTTGTGTTAAATCAGTGTTCGCAAAAAAATTCGTGTGAAAACAGAATTGAGTGTAACTAAACGGTCATAAAACTGATATTGTATCAGTGCGCCTTCGACCCCTGATTAAGTCAACTGCAATGATGGCGAAACGTTGTGATAAATTTTCTACGGGACACGGCTGTCACCCGAAAATCTGTATTCATTATGAGCAAGTTTCATTTATCTTAATTTTTAAAAATAAAAAAAGCATAAACATTGCATTATTTCCAAGATGACCAATACATTGTACGATAAATATAGGTTAAGCGGAGAATCAGTGTTTTCCTTATAATATAAATAATGATTTAAAAGATTGAATTTTTAAACTTATTATTTTATATTACTCTGTATTATTGCTATAAATTACTTATAATTTATTTATTAACGTTTGGCCGTATCTATAAGGTACCTTTATTTCCTTGTTGAATAAACAATTGCAATAAATGGAAGTTATGTATATTTCACTTGCAAATTCATTCAATAGAAGAATATAGATACTGAAAGCTAAATATTCGCGAAATGAACTTCAACCGGTGAACGTAATTTAATATCTGATACACAATGGTTGTCGTCGGTATACGAGTCGATAGGTATATAACAAGGATTGAAAATCATAATTCTGTGAACACCATTCCTGTCTCATAAAAATTAATTACCGAGAATTATTGAACTCACTCTCATAGATATCGTCCCGTATAATCTTTACAGAGGCTCATAAATACCATATGAAATTACATTCGCGTGATCGGTCGTAAAATGACAGTGTGCACTTCCGCGTTTTATACGAGCCCTTTCCATATTCACCGATCACTTTACACGCATAAAAGCAGTTGTAATTAACGGGTTAAACTGCGATAAGTAAAGCGAGTGGTTAGGTATGCGGCATAGATCCATTATTTTAATCTACCTATCTGGTTCGTCGAGATATTAAATCATGCGTATCCGTCGTGTCAAATCAGAGTGTCGCGCAGTGGTAGTTTTTCAAATTGATAGCGACCTTTTGTCTTCAGTTTTAAACAAAGAGGACATTTTTTCGATCGGTTTGCGATTTGTAAAAGAGTGGTAGGATATTAAGAAATATTTTGGGTGATATTTTAAACGTACTTTGCTAATCGAAAGTGTGAAAGTAGAATTGGTTTTCACAATAAAATACAAGCTTACAGTTTTCATGAATTCACAAATTTTGCAGGGTGAGGCACTTGAAACAAAATACAGAAATAACCCGTCTACTTCTAGCATTAAAAAAAACCTCTGACAACAAAGTTATACTATTTTAGTGGGCAAATCTTATTTTTTCGAGATTTCAAAATCGTCGTTACTTTTTTTAACAGAATCTTGAATTGTTTGGTGCACATTCTTATAGGGATTAAAAAAACCCAGTTTAATTACCTTAACAACCATATAGTTTCCATCATGCAATTTTGAGAGATTTGCAAGAACATGTTTATCGAGTTATTTAAATAATTCCTTTTAAATCAATGTAAATGTTGATAACAGTTTGTTTCGACAAATGTTTGATTAAAACACTTTCGAAATGGAGCATCAGAAATCACTTTTTGTAATGAAAAATCAATAAGCTAATACTAGCGCATGATTAATTGCTTACCGACTATTTCGTATATGCATAATCTCAAAAGTTGTCTGTCTTATAGCTTATTAAATTTTCTTATTTTTTCTTACTTTAATGATAGACTTGTTACAGTTACGTAAGAGATTTTAAAAGCACTTATAATTGAGAAAATTACATACGTTGCACGAATTGGAACTGCTTTCATTTATTAAGAGCAAAAAATATTAAACTATGAAAATTTAAGAGATCTGATTATAAAAGCAATTTATTTTTTATATTTTTACGCACATTTTATAGCTTCGTATATGGAAGGAATTCACGGTATTATACTAGAGTTTAGAGTATTCATTTATACTATGAATGCATAAAATTCCGAATTTGGTTATTATAGTAATACAGTATTTGATGAAAATTCTTAAAAAATTTGAAAGTTAAATTTTTTAATTACGAATTTTATTGACTGGAAAATCAAGTCGGAATTTCATGAAGTTGTATATCAGGTTTTCCACCCACTATCTTTTAAAAATTCATGTGCGATATGCATTTATAAACATCCGTACACTACTTATTACTCCGTAATTGATGTGTTCCGTTTGACGTTTTAGGTTAGTAATCAATAATCACTTAATCATTGAAGGGAAATAAATCGAACGTTTCCGTGATTTATTGTGAATCAATTATGACAGTGGTGACTCTGTATATACAAAAAATGATTTGGTAATTCTTCCTAATAATTTTGATTGATGAATTGATGTATTAACGTGTAATAATCACACGATAATAAATGATAACCGTTACCTTTTGTAAAAAGTGCTCGTCAAATTCGCTTA